CTTATTCTTCTCTGTTGCTCTCATAGGAATTCTCCTAAGTTAGCCTACAGCCTATTGACTCATAATACAAACTTGTTTCAAGAGGACAGATTGTATTTTTCTTTATGGTCCCTGTTATCATAGAGCTGTTTTTCTCATTGTGAAAATGTTTGCAATGAGAACATTAAGACCACACTTTTTACAATAAGAGCATAAGACCACAATGGTTTCTTTCCACTGCTATATGCCTTCTGATGATCATACAGCTGGCATGGTAGCCAAGCACAACGAAAAATTTTTCTTGCATGTCCTTGGGATAGGACAATCCTTCATGATAGTATTATTGATACTTTCACCTGCATTTTCATGGAAAGTACCTAGTTGATGACCTATTTGTTCACATAGATGTATAATATATATTTGTCCATGCACATGCATCTCTTTGTATAAGTAGAACACTGTAACATGATTTCATTAGTAGTTTTTTACTTCATAATAATCTAATTAGCTTATTCTTCTAGTATAAGTTTGTTATTTTAAATATCTGACGTTAATCCTTCATATGTTGATATTCATTCTTTTACCAACAAGCTAACGTGTCTCCATGGACATGGAGCTTCAGCTCAAACAGTAATTTGCTCATCCCCAATTTTGTTATTTCTGCAGAAACATTGTCAAAATTTGGATCTGGTTTTTTCCTTTTGGTTCAAGTGGTCATACTTCTCGATTTTACGCACACATGGAATGATGCATGGGTCGAGAAAGATGAGCAGAAATGGCAAGTTTGTAACTCTGCTACTTGCAACTGTTCGGAACTAGTATTACAGCATTTATTTAATTTGTCAACGTCTTAATTTAACCATGCAGGTATGTTGCTTTGCTGTCTATAACAGTAGTGTGCTACCTAGCAACATATGCATTCTCGGGAGTGCTCTTCATGTGGTTCAACCCCTCTGGTCATGACTGTGGTCTCAATGTTTTCTTTATCGTCATGACAATGATTCTTGCTTTTGTCTTTGCTATTGTTGCACTACACCCTCAGGTATTTATATTGCTAAATTTTTTATGAGGTCAGCATTAATGTGCATTTATCTAAATCAAAATTTTCATTAATCTTTTTTATTTCCATGATCATCATATTGGCTTGTAATATCTGAGTTTTGTTAGTAGTTTTATCATGTATGCATTATACACATTTGTGCAGTCCATTAATTTTCTTTAACAAGAAATACAAAAAATGTTTATATCTTAAACAAAACTTTATACTGTTGGAGGACCATATGGTGTCCCCAAGGAATCCCAATCACCGTGATCTTAGATGCCATGGAATACATTTCTTAATCGGCTTTTTCCAGACATTTGTCTGTGACTATTAGTTAGTGCACTGGAGTCCCACTTAAGAAAATAGCCTATGAATTTTGATGGCTCTTTCGGGGATTTTTTTGATTTTTGGAGCAGAGAGAAATTGGCTAATTCCATCATGATACTTGGGTATCTTTTTGGGATCTTCTCTTTTGTCTTTCCTACCCATACCATCCACCATGTTTCAATGTTTTGTATTTGGATTTGGGTAGTTGTTTGACCATGACACCTAAAAAAGGTTCTGGCGGTACATGGAAAAAATTCAGAAATATTTGACATTATGAAGTAAAACGAACAAAATCTTCTATACTTCAGTCAGAACATCAATGACATGGTTCCAATTAGCAACAAGAAGTAAAAGAAATAGACAAGTACACCAAGTGAAATTATGTGATGAAACACATGGATTACATCATGAACACAACGTGCCCATTGCTAAAAGTGCCTTAGGTATGACAAATACATTGGCTATGATCCAGTGTATCCAAACATCTATTTGCCTATGCGGTACTGATGGATGAGTCATGAAAAATACAACTGTTGCTGCCATATTGTTACTGTTCTTGCTCCATCTGCCCTAGGTATCCCATGGTGTAATCTGATGTCTGTAATGACCTCCATATCCACTCCATGAAATTCAGGTGACTTTGGCTTGATCTACTATCTTAGTTAAGCATAGCATGACCTCCCTCTGCTCATGATGTGTTATAATCCAGGCATCTCATGTAGCATTGGTCATAGGTGTAAATGCTCTCTCATCCAGGTATATTGACCAGCACATCTCAAGCTTAAAGATCATCGACAATAATATGCCTTACATCAGGCATGCATATAGTTTGACATGTCTTGTTAATGGTTATTTGAGACACCTGCAAATGCTCTCTCATCCAGGCATATCAACCAGCATATCTCAAGCTTAAAGATCATCGACAATAATATGCCTCACATCAGGCATGCATATAGTTTGACATGTCTTGTTAATGGTTATTTGAGACACCACAAAAGACTGAATCAAGATAAAGTAGCATGGCAACAACATTTTGTCCTGATTCCAATCCGTGATTACAACTCCATCCAACCCATCCTAACCAAGTCAGGAACTCTTGAATCTATAGATCATAAGGTAGTAAAGAAAACCCTGGACTTTGCAAGAGAAACTCAGATTGGCAACCCATGTGGGAGGAGGGTTGAAGTGGCTTTGGAACCAACAATTGGCCAGCTAACGTTGATACTGAAGTGCAGTGGTAGCAGTCACGGTAGAAGGCACAATTATTTGCAATTGGCACATGTTGAGATCATGTTATGAAAGGTCGAGAGGAAAAGAGAGAGGGTCATCAATGGCAGGTCACTCCATGTGTTGGTGATGTTGTAGTTAGCACCGCTGTGGCTTGTCTTGTATTGCTTGCTTGGGAAGAGCAAAAGAGGAATAGGCTAGGGCTACAAAAGAATTAAGCGACCTTATTTTGTTGGTTGTGGTAAAATTTTAACACAATTGGGTGTGGTTTAAACTGGTTTTGTAACTCGTTTGAGTGCTAGACTGGGACCAAGTTTCAACTTATGAATTTGACCATGTTGGGCTCACATTTGGTGTTTGAGCTGGACCTTACTCGGCCAAGGATGGAAAATCCTAAGCAGTAGCTGTGGATGCTAGACTCAAAATCATTGGGACAGATATATGGGTGAAGGAAGTTAGTTATATATGCTCTATGTGACTGTTAATTTAAGGAATGAGCCACTTTTTTTGCATATAACATCTTGGATGCATGTGCTGCAACGGAAAAAATATATATTTTTATTCGTCATTCTTATAATTTTAAGAAGTACCCTACATCATTATTTTGTGATTAACTTTTCCACTTGCATAGGTGAACGGGAGCCTCTTGCCTTCCTCTGTAATCTCGATTTATTGTGCATACCTATGCTACAGTGGTCTTTCGAGTGAGCCAAGAGACTATGCATGTAATGGTCTTCATAATCATGTGAAACAAGTTTCCACTGGTACGCTGGTTCTCGGAATGCTCACAACAGTTCTCTCTGTTGTCTATTCTGCTGTTCGGGCAGGATCGTCTACTACTTTTCTATCACCACCATCTTCTCCAAAATCAGGTACCGATTAAACTCAACATCTTTTCTGTTCACTACATTTATATTTAGCATTCTATCCATAATAATGACATTGTCTCTGGAGCGGAATTTATGTTGGTTCCAGATACAGAAAATTTTAATGGTTCTCATTAAACAATATTCATCATTGTAACCATAATTATATTATGTTTTTTTTCTTCTTTAAGGATTCGAGTAGATGTTGATGCCTACCAAAATTCTTTCTACGAGAGGCAATTCAGCATCTTGCACTATATGTAGCTTATGCTTTCACTAATTAGCTTTTCCAATTTTACCACTTCCCGTCGACACCGATTATCTTGTAGGTTCGAGAAGTCCACTGCTCGAAGCTGGTGATGCAGAATCAGGAAAACCAGAAAAGAAAGAAAATGAAGCACGGCCAGTTAGCTATTCATACACGTTCTTCCACCTTATCTTTGCCCTAGCCAGTATGTACTCAGCCATGCTTCTCACCGGATGGAGTGGTTCAATCTCTGAAAGCTCAGAGCTGATTGATGTCGGATGGACATCGGTATGGGTGCGGATCTGCACCGAGTGGGCTACTGCTGCCCTATATATCTGGACTCTGGTTGCTCCTTTGATCTTGCCCGACCGTGAATTCTACTAAGCCATAAATCTGCATGTTAAAAAGATTGTACCACAGTAACACTTACCAGACTCTGGAAATATATTTATGTTTGTGTCTGTCATATGTGAGAAGCAGGAAAGTTGCAGAATACACATGTATATATTATATATTATCACAGTTGAACTTGATTCGTGGTGTATGTCACTTCAAATTGTGATCTTTTATCAAATGGTCAATAACCAATTTCTAGTTGTGCTCTTTAATTCGAGTGCTTGGCTTTATTTTTTGGACCAGTCTTTAACCTTTGCTACCTGTAAAATTTTATACGTAGGTCATTTCTTCTTGTGTACCGAGGATTTGTGATGTAGAGGTTATTTTGTATTCTGAAACAAATATTCATTTTTTGTTGTGATGTTATATTTGTTCCTCATGAGTTTTATCTTGAATCAGGATTTGTTTGACCCAACTTTACATTTCATGTGCCACTGATCCATCTTCTATCAAAAGGATAGATAATTGAATGCTGCAACTCAACTTGGCCACAATTTTAGTCAGCGTGTGCTTAAATTGGGTAAACAAATCTACATACTTTTCTTTCCTTTTCTGTGAGTTGTTGTTTCATCAGTCTAGATATAAAATCTAGATATGATCAGTCGATCGATCGATCGGATTTGATTTACTAATTAAAATAATTATAATTTTAAAATATGCATGTATTTAAACTTAATTAGGAAATTGTATTGTGCTATGCAGATATTAAATCTGCAGTGTGACCGTTTGATATATCGATTCAACCAATGATTGGAAAATTGATGTGATCAATGTGTCCACTCAATTCCAATAAATGTGGAAGGATTTGGAGCCTTATCTAATGCATCATCATGCAGTGGCCTTCTGCCGTCCCCAAAGTGCGACTGCCAATTCTCCTCCACCCAACATTCCAACCCTATCTATGGAAAGCTAACGTCCCCCCTTTATATTACTTACTGCTCCTCGTTACTGGCAGTTCTCCTTGTCCTTCCTCCTCCTCCCTGCTCGGACTCTCCGCCTCTTTGGTAAGCCTGCCATGTCATGCTGCTTCCTTCTTCACGTCTCAGTTTGTTTGGCCATGCAGTTTACTCGTCTGAGATATCCTGTGCGTTGTTCTTGTATTTGGAGAGCTTGGGTTGTGCTTTCTTCCACTCGCATGCATGGAAGCCACTCTCAGGAAAAGTCCTTTTTCTTGTCCTGTCAACATGGTTGGGTCGGTTCTCGGTTTTCTTCCTCCACTCTGAACATAAATAGAGCGCACAGTAAGCATTATCTTGTTGTCTTCTGAGAAACCTTTGGATATTACTGGTTCTGTGAATGTTACTGTGGATTTTTTGTGTGGTTGTGTTCCTGTACGACAGTGTAATAAGCGTGGTTTTCTTTCTCCTCCCTGTGCGAATGTAGAGGACACAGCAACCAATTTGTTGTTTTCTGGGAAATCATGGATATTACAGTTTCTGTGAATGTTGTTGTTGTTTCTTGGTTGTTTTATAGGCACTTATGGGTGTTTATGTTCTTCCTCATCCCTGTACAGATGCAGAGCACACAGTAACCATTTATTAGTTTTCTGTGGAGTCTTGGATATTACAATTTCTGTGAATGTTCTTGAGGCTTTTTGGTGGTCTTTTAAGCATTAATGGTTTATGTTCACATGCTACATGTAATTACTTAACATAATTAATTGAACGGCACTACAGAGTAAGAGAAATGGTTGACTGCTACACAGCAACTAAGAGCTTATAGGCACTAGCATACTGCATGTAATTGTTTAACATACAATGGGCATCGGATTGGATTATTTGGTCATTAATTTATGAGTCACATCCTGTGAGCATTTGGCTGGTTCATGTTGACAAAAGATTGTAGAAAAAGAGAAAGGAAAAGGAAATTAGAGATTCTAGAGACTGAAGAAACTGTATCCGTTGGAATTCAGAATGCCACCAATCACATTGAGAATGGGTAGAATAAGGTCTTGGCAGTTGAATTTATTGTTCTTTTGGTAACTTGATAGTTAGGCAATAGCCACTTCATTCTTTATCATTTTTTGCTAATATGAACAGAAACATCCGAAGTTCAAATTTTCCTGCCAATTTTTGCTTGCTTGATGAATAGAGGCAAATGGAACTAGTTTTCATTCCTGTCCTTTGAAGCTTAGGAATGTCTTATTACTAGCTTCGACTCTCTGAACTTGTAAGTGCAAGTATTTAGCAGGTAGAGAAGCTATCTATCTTATGTATGCGAGGAAAATGGAACTAGTTTTCATTCCTGTCCGAATAAAGCATGCTAATTTTTTTTTTCTTTTTGGTATTTGACCCTTAATTTTCATACTTCTGAATTGAAGTTCAGAAGGGAGGTAGCAGGAAAATATGGCTAAGATGATGGTCTCCCCCATGCAATGCCAAATGGGATTCCCAAGTAACTCACTTCAGGGAAGGCCCATGATAACATCAAAGATGTGGAATTCTCTACTGTTAAATGCCCAAAGGCCTAAGACCCGAAGAGGAATTTCTGCATTCAAAGTGCTTGCTGTCAAGTCTGAAAATGGTGTTGTATCAAGGTTGGAGGACCTACTTAACTTGGACACAACCCCGTTCACTGATAAAATCATTGCAGAGTACATCTGGTATGCAACAATGACAACTTCATCCTTTCTCCCGGTAAATTGAAGCGTATATTATGAATAAATTTAGCAACGCGATTTCTGAATCATAGAGAACTAGACTAGCAGATGAAATAGCTTTGAGAGAGAACACAACATGTTGAATTCAGAATCTTAGTTTCTCCCTTTCTTTCTTGCTTGTATGCTTGAAAATTTTAAATTGTATGGTTCAAGTTAAAGTCCAAGCCAGTATACATGTGATAGAGATAGATATCGGCTATGACATGTAACTCTTGACTGAAAAACAAATTGTTTTCATGCTTCAAATAGGATTGGAGGAACTGGCATTGACATCAGAAGCAAATCACGGGTATGCTTTTACATTCGCGTCAAATATTAAGTTGTTTTACCTTTGAAAGAATAATCAGGTACAAAAACTGTATTTCTGCTCCTCGTCGCTAAAAGCTCTTTTATCATGATGAAATATTTCAGACAATATCAAAGCCTGTGGAGCACGCATCAGAGCTACCAAAATGGAACTATGATGGATCAAGCACCGGACAAGCTCCTGGAGAAGACAGTGAAGTCATTCTATAGTAGGAAATATGATTCTATATCTGTATTTAGTTTCTCCATAAACTTGCTTGCAAGATGATAACCCATGCTTTCTTTGTTCTAAGTTATTTCCTTTTTACCTTCAGTCCTCAGGCTATTTTTAAAGACCCTTTTCGAGGAGGAAACAACATCTTGGTTAGTAATATATCTTTTAATACTCTTCAAACAAGCAGAAAAATTCACCATGTTTCATTTATAAAATATCCAAGTGCTTCAATGACACGCATTCTTGTGAAGGTAATTTGTGATTCATATACCCCAAGTGGAGAGCCCATACCTACCAACAAGAGACATAGAGCTTCTCAGATATTTAGTGACCAAAAGGTCATTGATGAAGTGCCTTGGTGAGTTTCTTTTATGTATTAGATATATGGTGCATGAAGACAGGGAAAAGTAAAACGCGGTCATAGATATTGTGAATCAACCACCTGAGTTGCTTGTTCAGTCATGTTATAGACACCTCTGTTTCCACTTGTTGGACTGAGAAGAAATGCTGTTTCTTTCAATTTCTTTCTTGAGAACTTACAGGTATGGAATAGAACAGGAGTATACCTTACTCCAAACAAATGTGCAGTGGCCTCTTGGCTGGCCTGTGGGGGGATACCCAGGTCCTCAGGTAACAACTTTTGTTCTATCCTGACAAGCATGTAATCATATTTGAAGTCATAGTAACAAGGTAGGTGACTGAGAAGAGAGACGGCTCAGTGCAGTTTCTTTTGACTTGGAAGCTGTGAGCAGGACATAAAATTTTGGTTATTTTCATAATTACTGCTGCCAGGATCATGAATCATAGTTGGAGCATTTGTACATTACCCTGAACTGGTGTTCACCATAATTGATAGAACCACGGAATATGTTGGACACAACCTCCATGTTAATAGTCGAACTAGAAGGAACATAATAATACTAGTAATTGTGGACATTGAATTGCTTCAGGGGCCATACTACTGTGCAGTGGGTGCAGATAAAACATTTGGTCGTGATATTTCGGATGCTCATTACAAGGCATGTTTGTATGCTGGAATCAACATAAGTGGCACTAATGGGGAGGTTATGCCTGGACAGGTATAGATAACTTTTTCCTGTTTCTTGCATTTTTCAGGATGCTTCAACTTGTTTTCTACATGTACTGATTCTTTAATTCATTTGCCATTATTGAAAACATGTGATAGTTCTATCATATGTTCCTTGGTACATTGACTCATTAGTATGTTGTCTAACCATATGCTGTCTGATGCATTCTCATAATTTTCCTAGTTTAGAAATTATGTGCCATCCTTGTTTACGCATGCTTATATAGATTTAAATTAGGAGCATTTATGGAGAATAAAAATCATACTTGTAGTGTTGGATTTCTAAAGTATTAGTTGCCTGCTTATATAGATTTAAATTAGGAGCATTTATGGAGAATAAAAATCATACTTGTGTTGAATTTCTGGAAGTATTAGTTGTTATCAACTAAATATTTGATGATCAAATTAACTTGTGCAGTGGGAATATCAAGTTGGACCAAGTGTAGGAATTGAAGCAGGAGATCATATATGGTGTTCAAGATACATTCTTGAGGTAATCTTTAGCTGTCACCTTTTAGTTTCCGAACAGGAAGGAAAAATGAAAAACAGTTGATCAATTTTCTACAATTTAGCATTGACCTGAGTTTCAAGGAGTTGATAAACTCTTTTATCAGAGGAATATTATAGAAATACATGTGGTGGATGCACTTCAAGCCACAAAAGCACTTTATTTTTTGTATTATTATTGTGACCTCATTTAAAGCATAAGACTGGTTAGAGAGAGAGACTTTGTCTAAATCATTTTGTTGGACCACATTAATTGCCCTCAAGCTAAAGAATCTTTTAGTCCCTGATCTTTCTAGTGAAAATGCATCTTAATTTATGCGACTTCTAGAAGAAATTCAGTATTTCTCGATCTTATAATGCAATGGTATTATAAGAAAGTAATTCAACATTGCTACTTGAGGATATGGCACTTGCCGAATCTGTAAGCCATCCTGATGGAGCAAATGACCTCTCATTTAATTTTGTCTCTCATCATCATATATTACTTGTAAAACGATCATGCTCAAACCCTCTGTTAAGGATACACTATTGATGAAATTCAATAACCTGGCATCAAAGCATATGTACGTGCAAGTTATGAAATATGAATGCTGAAAGTGATTCAACATCATTATGAGTAGGATCACTGTGAATCATTTGTCTTCTCCAGAAATTTATGATCCTCATGTTTTCATCTTGTGTCTTCTGTAGAGAATCACAGAGCAAGCAGGTGTTGTACTCTCCCTCGATCCAAAACCAATAGAGGTACTTGCACCATACTGCTGGAACAAGATTTACATGTATAATCTCAAACAATTCTGAGTTGTTCATTGCATGGATAGGGTGACTGGAATGGTGCAGGTTGTCACACCAATTACAGGTAACATGCTCTTGTTTTCACCCATGGCATAGTTGGAACAATGGAACAAGAGTGCAGTAGGCAGCTCATTTATTTCCATGAAGATAACTCCTAGAATGAATGTTATATGGCCACATAAAATTTCAGGTAGCATGACTTAGGTGGCAGTGATGTTATCTAAAAGACTGAAACCACAAAAGAGTTCCAGGGTTGCCTTGAGAAGTTTGACCAAAGGAGCTACCATCTAGAAAAGCTTGTTGAGAATGCATACATAGGAAACTAGAAAAAGTAGGTGTTTATGCATTGTTAAGGAGACAATAAAGAAGGATACAACTAGAACTAGACAGAAAATTTAGGTATCAGTTTATCTTTGTGGAGAACTTGGACAATGCTTGTGATCAGCATCATTTGCTGCAATTTAGGTCCATAAAACTAGTCATTTCAGCTGAAAAATAAACAAAAATCTGTAGATTTTACCTTTGATTGGTCTTGACAGATTGTTTATTCTGTCATCTGCCCCTGACTTGTATGCTTGTTATTGCAGCACCAAGACAATGAGAGAAGAGGGTGGGTATGAAGTGATAAAGAAGGCAATCCTCAATCTATCACTCAGGCACATGGATCACATCAGTGCATATGGAGAAGGAAATGAACGCCGGTTGACTGGGAAACATGAGACGGCAAACATAAACACCTTCTCCTGGGTAAATAACCAGAACCAACTTACCACTCTTTTCGATCTCTGTCTTCTCTCATTTCAAATGCTAGTGTTTGATTGAATACCATGATGACCCCTTCTTGTCACAGGGAGTGGCGAATCGTGGCTGTTCAATTCGCGTGGGGCGTGACACAGAGAAACAAGGCAAAGGTGTGTGTTTTTCCTTTCAACTGCACTTGCATCAGCTGATGCAGATCTGATTGTCTCTGAAACCATAGCAGATGAACTCTGAAGAACTGTTGCATGTTTGACCATTTGTTTGTGCCAAATTTAGGATACCTGGAAGATCGTCGTCCGGCTTCAAACATGGATCCCTATGTGGTGATATCTCTTCTGGCTGAAACCACAATTCTTTGGCAGCCAACCCTCGAGGCTGAGGCTCGTGCCGCGAAGGAGTTGCAGTTGCAAGTATGAGGCCTTCATGGTGAGGTGTGGAACGGGAACTCGATGGATACCTCCTCTCTTGGTGTCAGCTCCTCCTCAGTTCCAAATTTGATCTCTGTAGTTTCTATTTATGTGATTCTCCTTCCTCATTAGGATGCTAAGAAGGAATGAATGCTCCATGAACAATACAAGTTCATTGTCAGCAAACTCTATGGGTGCCAAAAATAAGAAATTCTAGTGTTGTTTGCATGTGTGAGAAATTGATATAAGTTGGAGGTATGAACGTTTTGTATTACTCTGGTGATTGGACCAACTTCTCCATTCCCAATCCAAGAGTCATCGGTCACGACAACCTGTTCATGTCAACTCTTGCTAGCTTTTCCTTCTCATTTTTGCCAAATACAGACTAACAATCTAAAACCAGTTCCCTGTTTTCAAGCACTGTCATCTCTCATCTTCCTAGATCTTTCAATAATGTTGTCATTTTTCGACAAGCTTCGGCAGTTCTCAATAATAAGGTATAGATTGTTCTTTGTTCAAAAAAAAAAAAAAAGGAACAATCTAAACCCAATAGGTTCTAAACACTTCATATATATAGTTATCATGATTGGACTGGAGATTCATCCGACAATATCTGATGTCATGGGATCATTGACTAAACTAATGGATCAACTAATTAGATTATAGAATTAATATATTTTGAAAATAATATATACTATGTCAAAATTTTAAACAGTACATAACAACATAAAATTAATTTTTTGAGAGTGGAACTAAGTGCGACGATAAGATTGATCCAACAAGATTTGAGTTGTGAAAATGGTCTTTTTAAATATATATTGATCCTATATCTCGATTTGACGGGAGCATCATGCCTAACTTCATTCTTACTAAAATAATTTTTTGATATGATAATAGAGTAATAGGAAGAAATTTGATGATACTTGAAGATTCTCGGTTTATGGGCAAGTTGTTTCCTTGTGAAAGGATTCTATTTTAGATAGGAAGAAATTTGAATGAAAGAGGTTGTTATGTCACCTTAATTAACATATTGATAAAGCACTCGAAATACACAACTTTAACATGAACCCATTCCTTTACACGAGTAAGCTTTGATGATACATGAAGAAATGCAAGCCAAAGTGAATTGGCATACAATTTACAATCCAAAATTCTCTGCGCTTCAGTTCTCAGTAGATACAAATTTAAATTAGAATTTCCATCGCGCATGATTATTATACATGGAGAACCTACTTCTTGGAGACATAAGCATAATACTGTGCCATGGGAACCACAAAGGCAATCACTAGCAAACCTACAACTACGAGGGTAAATTGCCCTCGTTTCTCTTCTGTCTCTTCCTTAGATTTGAAATTGGATTCGCGCTTGTTGTCCTTGAACTTGGGTCCTCCGGGATCTGGCAGCCCATCAATGGCAGCAACTAGACGTTTGGCGGCACTAACTATAGCTTCATTATATTTCTCATCCGTAGCTAATACTGCAAGACAAAAGTATACAGCAATTGTAATCTATGAATAACTCACTTGTTTAAACTAGTTAGTTTTTGTGTTAAACAGTGAATTCACAGGTTTCCCAAGAGGAGAAATTAATCAAGTTTAATTCCTTTTTACAAATGAAGTTAAAGGCGGCACTTAATATGTAAAACAGAGAAAATAACAACAAATGCCCAAAGCTATGGATTACAAGTAACAAATATTGCTCATGATGAACTGCCTTATACTCAAAAATTCAGAGTATCAGTTCTATGATATGTCCAGATAGAAAATGTATCTAAAATTATGCCCAAATCCTTGCCTAAAACCCATTAGTTTGTTTAGCTATTGCAACTTAACTAAAACCATAGAATGAATGCTTATAAGCACAATGTTTCAGCATTGAACACGTTGGATTCTGGGTTACTTTAGAATTTCAATCTTCAGCATGTAATTCCTCTCATAAATATAAGGTTTGAACTACCTTATTACGGTGAGCTATAATACATCAAGTAAATGATGAACAGATTATTTTGGCATACTGACGTATATGCTCCAGAGTCTTAGGTCATATATAGGTATCTATGGAAAATGAGTAGGTTTCTAAGACAAATTCTTACATAAACTAAAAGAAATTGGCGGACATCAAATCCATGACTCAAAAGCTAAGATTTTCTGTGTGAGTTGAAAAGTTAATTCAGCAATGATTTATTATCCGAGCACATATTGGGCATACAACTCTAAAAGATACAGACAGAACATCCTATTTATGATCCAAGCTAATGACATAGGTGCTCTAAAATCACCAGTAGCTAAAATAAGCAATAGTTAGTATGAATGCACATGATATGTCCTTTCACTAAATCATGAACATAGAACTAGTGTAAAAACTTATATTGATTGACAAAAAAATTTAAGCATTTATACTGCATTATATGTTGTTGGTTAATGACCGTTCATCATGGTTGCAAACATTGCAAAGAGCTTGAAATGCAAGACAAAATTCAGAAAATATCATATCACTAAGGATCCTCCAGGTAATATAATATTTCATGTTATACATATTAAAGCCAAGAACTACATCTTCATGCTTATATGTAAGCATCAATTTTATTAAGTAGAAAAGTTTAGATTAGAATATTACTTGCTTGGTGTGTGATTCTCTGTATAGAAGAAACTGTTTAATCCTTGAAAATTAATTGCCTTACCTGGAAGATTCTCAGACACAGTAGCATCCAGAATAGTATCTCCAACAGCTTGAACGAAGGCAGGTCCTCCTGTGATTGCCCCTTCTTTCTGGCTGGTAACCAGTACAACTATTCCCTTGTTGTTGCCTTCTTCTACTGTTGGATACCATTTCTCAAGCACCTGGTCAGCATACTCGAAAGCGTCCGCCTTGCTCTGGAAACCAAAATTATCAGCTGCAATTAGTTGTGGAAATATCTTGTTTGTCCTCCATAGCCAAGTATTGGTAACTTAAATGTATTATAAGCATAACAATGTAGCAAAATGCAGAACATAAGTCAGGGCATAATTGCAATTGAAATCACACATTCGAGTCATCTGGAAAGGGGAAATTGCTGCGACTCACCGTAAGCTTACGAAGAGTGATGAAATTGATGTGAACGTTCTTTCTCTTCTCGAGATCAGACATCAAACTTTTGAGATCCGATTTGGTCACGCGGCTAAGGACGCCGGCGTCATCGACGACGTACTCCACCGGAGGGCCCTCGCTCAGCACGTCGAACTCCGACGCGAGCGCCGGGGGGTCAAGGGACGGGACGGGGCAGAAGTTGATGGCCAGGGACAGGGCAGCAGTTGCCAGCCCATGATGGAGGTGGGAGATCCAGCTCCTTTTGTGGGGAGATGGAGCAGGAGAGGAGTTCTTGAGGGTGCAAGAGATGGGCTTGGAGAGGAGAGGGAGTCGGGGATGGTGAGAGGAGGGTTTGGGGAGGAGGAGGGGAGCGGAGGAGCAACGAGAGATGATGGTCTCCATTGAGGAGGAGGGGGGAGTGGGGGGGGGGGGGGAGGAGAAGGACTGAAATGGAGGGAAAGGTCGAGATTTTTTAGGCAGTTGCGTCCTTTTTATTTGCTTATTCTTTTTGTTTGGCTGTCCGTTGGATTTGGTTACGATTTGGCGTGACGTGATTGGGTGGCCGGTTTTTTATGTGGATAAGGGTGACGTTTCCTAACGTCGGTTGGCTTTTAGATTCGTTATGTGATGATTAATGAAGGGCATTTGTATTATTTATTACCTCTATGAATAGATTATAATATATGCTATTACTTGGGCATTTTTTAACAACAAAAATTATATATATATATATATATATATATATATATATATATATATATATTATATATATATATATATATATATATATA